TGTCGTGTGTTACAAACACCCTCTTTTCTCTCTGTGTGTTTAAATGCTGCTGAAAAATGTCCATTTCACTGTCCTTTATTTAAATGGACTTTTAATGTGTATTCCACATTAAACTTAGAGCATATGGCCTCAAGATTCACAGTGACCATTTTGATTAATGCCCTGAGTGACTTAAAAGAAAAGAAGTGAGGTTTAAGCCACAAAAGAAACCTGAGTTCCCAAAGCAAATCCCCGGCAGACATGGCAGTCAACCAGACAAGTTGACTTTAATCCAGAAAATGGATTTCCAAACCACACAAACATATTGGTTTGCTCAAACAATCAGCTTTTCATACATTATCTGCAGCTGCTGTCAGTGTTGTATCAAAGAGTTTGGACTGTTTCATATAACAAGGTCCTGTTACACAGGATGCATGTGCTGGCCCATCCTCTCTCTGTCTGGATCAAGTGTTTGATTCAAAGATAGCTGCTGGGATGATGGAAGTGTGGCAGACGAGTTTTTGGCCTTTGTTGCCTCAAGGGTTGAAACACCAGAGGATAAGGCCTCCCTGCTCGTGCCTTGAACAACTCTTCATAAGTGTCATGTCACAATCTGTTTCCTATCATTTAACACATTTGTGTCTGGCCCTTTAACACAGTAAGTGAAGTTTCCTTTGTTTCACACTGTCGAATTATGAGACAGAGGAAGTACTCTGAATAGGCTATTGTACTATCAGTACAGGCAATCGACTCAAGCTGCACTGTAAAAGAGCCTGGACATTTCTTATTCTCCTCAATCACATGGCAAATGCAACCTCTCAGACGTTGATCTTTTACAGTATATTTCTGCAAAATTTTCCATCCCTTCCTCAGCTCTGTCATTGGCCTGCGCCAACACTACACACTCATTTGTTAGCCCCACCACCATCCCAGCATCCTCAGCCAGGCACTGGCTTATTATCTAATCCCCTTTCCAAATATCTGCATGCAAAGCAATTCTGCAAGGTTGTTGACATCGAAGCGTAGATGTCACTTGTTGGTGAAAGTCTGATTTGTTTTGAACGAAGATGTTGGCAGCATGGGAGTCTAACACTGTCTTTGAGAAAGATCAATGACGTGCAGTTTGTAAGACATGTTTCAGTGACATTTTAAGAGGAGGTACTACTAACAGTTTAAAAACACAAAATCACAAGCTTATCTGGAAAACAGACACTAACAATTACAACTGCAAAGAAGTAAAGAAAAAACTCAGGACTTAATATCTGCTCTGATTTTGAGTGAGTCTGCAGCAAGTTTTCTAAATGCTGATAGATGTTGTGTAAATTATGATGCTTGTCTTACTGACTTGTGCTTTGCATAGTTTCATCTTTTTTCTTTGATACAGCATCCTCAGGGCCACCGTAGTTTGGGTGCTGCTCCACCTGTCACTGCTCCTGATGAATTGCTCGATGTGATCCAACTCGACAATGACAGAGCGTATAATTCTTCCTGTCTGACCTCGTCTGACTCATGCTCATTCACCTCCTGTTCAGTTGCCATTCTCATATTCACTTTCCCTGTCTGAGTGTGTCTGCACCCACTCTGTGAGGTGTGAATCCTAAAGAATGAAGTGTTGTCTGGATGTTTTTTGGCTGATGGATTGCTTTCTGGAACACGAGTTAGCTCGCTGTTTGACTGACACTCACGAGTGTTTAAAATCCTGTAATGGCCCATTCAGCAGGATGTTGGGAATTTTAATAGAACTCATTGAGATAGCTGCATGTCCTCAGGTCAGCGCTCTGGGTGAGCGGAGCAGCTGTTCTTCCAGCATTTGGGGGAATTCCTGCCCCTCCTCCTGTTAATGAAGAGGTCAGGAGGTGAACAAGACTTCAGTATATATGCAGTGTCTTTGAATAGAATGACACTGTGAGGGCTGTACAGTGTCAACCCATTCTCACTCTTTAGTTGTCAAATTTTGCATCATTGTCAGGGTCCCAACACTTCAAATTTAGTTGTGCAAGAACCCTGTTTTTTTTGTTGATTTTCTGGACACTATTCTCCAGTTTACTGTTTTTATAGTAGACAGAAGTCTGGTAAAGTGGTAGTCAGGGGCAATGGATGGATAAAAGAAAAAGGAATTTCATCTTGCAGACAAGGGTTTTATTCCCATGTGAAATATACATAGATAGTCACTGTTGACTTATTTTATTGTTTTTATTATTATTATTTTTGCCATATAAATGGTGTATTATTTATGTTACGTTATACATCACTGGCATACCAACATTAGTACTGCTCTAAACACAAAGTCTGATCTCTTTACTTAACCAAGCCAAGTAGTTTGAAGACTAAACACAACAAACACTCTGCAATATTAACCAAATTATCCACTGCACTTCAGAAACTGGTCGAAAGAAATGGTTTTGGTTATCCACGTGGAGAGTTGTCGACTTGTAACTTAAAATGTCATCATAAATGGGAAGAATCAATGGGGGCCCTTTTTGCTACATTTGTACTCATTTTGAAAGCATTTGTATTTATATTAGTTGTTTAGTTTTTCCTTTGTCTGTTTTGTTTTTCGCATATTTCCAATATGGATGACTGGAATTTCCTTGATATGTGTTTTAGTTAGATTTATTTATAGTTATTTGTAGCCCTCCTTCCCCAGTGTATTTATGTGTGTAGGTGTGTGTGTGTGTGTGAGTGCGCGCATGCAGGTGTGTGTGTCTTTAGGTTGGGTTATGGGTTTTGATTTTTGTTTGGTTTGTATATTGTAAATATGTCAATGAGACAAAAAGTCTTAAATAACATGTGAAAACAGGTTTTACTCTACAATGTTGTTAATTTATTGGTGCTACCTTGATGGCTTTATTTTATAACTCGAACCAGATGTTGCATACTTATTATTGCTTACATGTGGAGCCCCAAATGTGCCAAACTGACACTGGTACGTAGATGGATATTTTGAATTTTAGGACCACAGACCCCTTGGGAACTTGGTGACAGTTTGAAGTCGGGGGAGTGTGGTATATTAATTTGATGTGTCATAATGCACTTTCAATAGACGAGATACATTAACACTGGTAAGAGCAAAAGAATCCCATTAATCAAGACCTGAATTTGATGTGGTGAAACAGTGCTGGAGGACTCTCCTTTAATCATAACCGTGTGAAGAGAGATGAGACAGAAGGAGTGGGTTGTGTTGTAGACTCTCTCAACCCTCCCGGGTCTCTGACCGGGGAACAAAGCTGAAATTAGCAGACCTCAGGGTACATGTCCCAGGCGCCTGCCCAGACACACACACACACCTCTGATTGGAAGGAGGGAAAGGGTGTATCTGCTTCCCGTAACACAGCGTCTCGTCAGTGCTTCAGGCTGGCTGATGTTTGACAGATATGGAAACCCAGACGTGCCCCCAGGGTGTGTGAATGTGTGAATGAGTAGTTATTGATGTAAGTGAGGTTAGCAGGCCTCCATCATATTCGGCAAAGGTATGTTTAACAGTTTTGGATCATGCTTGTTTAATAAGATTTTATTGACTTATATTTCTGCAATGATTCCTGTTGCATGCGGTCCATAATTTCAGGCCTCACCTTTACTAGAATATTCATGTCTTTTGGCAAGAGGTGAAATTAATACTTAGTTTAAAAAAAAGGTGAAATTAAATGACTCGGAATTAAGATCCCCTTTTCAATAAAGCTCTGTATCTCTGAGTGCAGGAATCATACAGTTCTTTTTGGGAGAAATGTTTTCTCTAGCACTAGTCAGACTTTTTTTTAATACTGTTAAGGAGTTTTATTACTGAGTTTTTAACTTGAACAGTACAAATCGCTGTATGACGTACAGAATACAAAATATAAAGCCAACCATCCCTACCCAAACCCTCTTATCTCCCCGACCCACCACCCAAAACCACCCCCAGTCCCACCACAATGCAATGCTTTTAACAACAATGATAGCATAATGTACTGTCTACATTTACACATATACATACATAATCCACATACAGTTAGTGAACACAAATAATCCAGGCATTTGCAGCTGCTCCTATTAAACCCCATAATCAAAAAGAGTGCTATGTGTCATTCCAATTTGTTATCCCAGTAACAGTAGTGAAATAGGCTATGAATGGAAACCACATTTTACTGGACTCAGCCTTTTCCCCCCTCATGGTGCTTTTAATCTTTTCTAGTTTTAGATTGAACATGACTTCCTTCATCCACCTGGCATGGGAAGGAGGCTTAGGATCTTTCCAATGAAACAGTATCAGACGACGTGCTAGCTAGCAGGTGAAGGCGATAACATTACAAAGATTTCCTGACCAAATAGCATTTTCTGCTTTTAGTTAAGGTTTATTACATAAAGTCAGAATTATAAACGTAAAGAGAAGTAATATAGTTGTACACAGAAATATCCAAAACTAACCCCATCTCAACCAAGCAGCAGTGACCTAAGAAGTGTATCTACTTAAAGAATATGAAAATACATTGTATGTTATTTCACATTTCTTCTGATAATGTCAGCCATGCAGTTGTTTTTTTTACTGAGCTTATTGCGATTGCTAAAGCGTTCTACATTAGTACCAGTTTGAACAATTTAAGGCTTCAAGGGGATCTTCTTGTTGTCTTTGTTGTGTGTCTCTGGGTACTTGATTCACAAATCCAACTGTCATGATTGTTTGACTATTCAAATGATTACTGGCTTCGTGCGGTGCTGCATACCAGTTTCTCTAATTGCCACAACATGTTTCAGTCAAAAACCCTTTTTTTTAGAACTTGGTTCGTACAGTAGATGTAGAATAGCTACAAGCAAAAATGAAATATAGAGGAGCGAATCCAAATCGTACAAGTACAGAGGTTTAACAAGAAAAAACTCTGAAAAATAAAACAAAGGACAAAAGACAGGAAATAATTGATATGTAAAAGGAACAAAACAAGAAGTAATTTTTATTATTTATATAAATCATGAGGTCTTTCGTTTTTTTGTTGAAGATTCCTGAATATAAAAAGTAACCAAAGCTCCCTTTCTCGTCTTTTCACCAGGTGGTTCTGTGAAGGCAGAGAGCTCCACACCTCTCCTGACATACAGATCTGGAGGGATGGTGACCTGCACACTTTGGTGATCGCTGAAGCTTTCGAGGACGACACAGGACGTTACACCTGCGTGGCTTCCAACAGTCTGGGAGCAGATAACACCTCTGCTGAGGTTTACATCGAAGGTGAGACCAATTCATTTTAACTTTTGAGGTATTTATGTAATATAGTTATCTTTTAGATAAGATTAACAGTTTGCTACATGTTGTTGATCTGCCTTAATAATGAGGATTATTAACTGTTAAAGAGATGACATGTATATCACAAAGAGATAACCATCACTGCTTTTTGTTTTTCTCCCGTTGCAGGAGCTTCGTCATCAGATTCGGAAGGGGAAGGAGCCGCGTCAAAGTCCAGATCCGGAAACATGCCTCAGTACGTGTGTTCGGCATGACCTCTTGTGACCCAGTGAACCTTGAATCCCCTGAACAGGTCATCTGAGCCCTGCAGCAGCTAATCAGAACTACTGCCCTTAACTAGACCCTTAAAAGGCCCATAAAGAGCCATAACCCCGAGCTGGTACACAGGCCACTCTGTAGATAATTACAGGTACAGAGGGTTAATGTGGGGGGAAAAAAACAAACCCTGACAGGATTTTCCCCCTGTACTTCAATCCTTTATGCTAAACATTTTTAAACAATTCCTGCTTTCACTCTCTGTTTTTACCGCCCTTTCTCTTGAATTATTTGTCCTTCTTCATATAAAGAAGATTGGGCCATGTACCAAAGAAGCACAGTTTTTCTTATTTAGCAATTAGTCTGCCAAAAACTTGTAAAGGAGGACAAAACATTAACATTTCACTAGTTTATTTTGCTCACATGGACCCAGCTTCCAGCTGTATAGTTACTCTGCTCTTGTGCATCTTATTAAATGGAACTTATACATTCATTTTAACAAACGCACTGAAGAAGAAGAAGCCTTGTGCTGAAACATGTTAGCATTTGTCTGTGCTGATGTGAGCCAAATAAACTAGAGAAATGTCGTATTTTGTCCTCCTTAACTTTGAATTTGAGATGTACTGCTGTTATTTATGTTTTGAACATTATTACATAAGGACAGTTCTGCAATCAATCTTTCAGTAACTCTCTCAGGGGTTTGCAATTTTCTGGATGTTTTTGATCATAATCTGTTGTTTAAATCTGCCTCCATCTGGACAACTTCCTGATTCCCTTTTTGTTTACACACTAAAGCCAAGGTCCCTGATACCATCTTAATTGCTGTGGTGAAATTATACTTTGATTCAACATTCATATTTTAACTACAAGCATACAGACACATGAAATAGCAAAGATATTTTTTTTATGAGTGTTTTCTGATTTATTCCTTGTCTTCTTCTTCTTAGAGTTCAGAAGAAGATGACTTCAATGTCCCTGACAATACGCTCATCATCACCCAAAACCACAGAGGTCCTTCCTCTCCGCTCCACCCTGGTCCAGTCCCTGTCTCAGCCCCCGCAGCGGGTAAGTACCCACCGCCTACGTGACAGTAAATCTACAAAAAAATGTTTTCTTCAATGACACAAAGAGATGCCTTTCTGTATGCACTCACTGAGTTTTATTTTTCTTCCAGATGCAAAGCCCTCTGTCACTGTCACTGTGTGGTGGTGAGGTGTCAGGTCCGCCGTTATTCACTAAGGTGAGGATGCATACTACACATACACCACTTTGCTGACATGTCATTTAAAAAAAACTATGAATAAACTGCTCTAACTGGATCTTGTCATCTGGGAAGATTTCCTATAGATGTTTTAACCTGGCTGCAGAGATTGACTCTAAATTAGCTTTAAAAGTATTAGTGAGGTCAATAATAGATATTTAGGGCAGTAAGAACTTCCTGAACTTTCTAAAAATCAATTAAGAAAAACTAGACAATCAAGGAAAATGTCAGATGTTTTATTTACAAGAAAATGATTTAGCTAGAATTAAAATAGAAACTGAAGTTGCAAGAACAGAAAAAGCTTGCAGTAAACCAACATAAGCCTTTTGGCACTGAAGCAGATTATGCTAAGTATTTAAGTAATAAAGTGGCTGTTTTGCTGTAAGTGAATACAATTATGTGAATGTTTATTATTACAGTTACTCGTTTAAGGGATTTATCGAACTATTTAAATGTTACTTTAAACTATTTTGTAACGTTGCTCTTTGGTGCTTTTATTTGATTTGATTATTGCTTAAATCCTGAATTGGTTACAACAGTTAAGGGTATATGCATGCAAAGTTTGTATTTATTAAAGTTGTTCGTTGTTAAGGTTGATGTCATCGTTCTTTGCAAGATAGTCAGGTTTCACACAGACTTGAAAAGCATTTCTTTTTTAGCGTTTTGTCACAGAGACATAACAAAACAAACCCTCCCTGAAGCTGTATCATTAACTTTTCCTGCACACTTAAGCCCAAACCCAGTCCCAGATACAAACCTACTTAAACACAGTACATCATGTAGGCAACACATACATGCACATATGCAGAACATGATACAGATTTATTGTGTCTCTGCCTTCCCATAATAACAGTTTGCATTGCTGTGGCTTACAGCAGTGGGGGTCAGATAAAACATGCACTTTGATGAGAGCTCCTCCTCCAGCTCAGACTCTTCATCACTCCCCAAACAGCCCCGACTCCCTCTCCCTCAGGCTGTGGGTCTTGTGATGGCGAGACTGAGGCGGGCTGAGGCAGAGCTTCAAACGGCCCTGCCAAACCCACAAGGGTCAGGTCTCTTTCACTCTCATTGAGGCAGTCAGGCCCTAAATCATTTTCCTCTTCATTACAAAAGAAACATTTGTTTGTCTTCACCTCCTTTAAAAGCTGCTGTGGGCTTTAATCATCTCAATGAGAGGATGGTCGCCTCCACTGATGTCAGCCATACAACACACACCCCCACAAATACACACATACAATGTCAGACCGATACATTCCACCCCTGGTGTTCCCAAAATATACCCAATGCCGTAGTCACTATGTCACAGAGAGAAAGAGGTACATTCTTTTACACTGACACTGAGAGCCACTTGTTGAAGGATAACACCCGACACATTTCTCGCCCCGTTAACAAGCAGAAGAGGCAACACAGTGCTAGGAGTGTCTTCTCCATCAGAAGCTTTTTGATGTGTTTTTCTTAGTTCTGAGATTTATCCTATAACAAAAACAGAGAGGAGTTAAAGTTTTGCAATTTCTATCATTAAATTTATAAGTATTTAGAAATTCATCAGGTGTGGCCGTCCTGACAGTGTTCGCAATATGTATTGCCTTTGTGCCTCCTTTTTTCCCCCTCGTTCTCTTTCTCTTTTTTTTGCGATCAATTTTTTATTGTTTATGTTTGAACATTGTCACTTACAATAAAGGAAAAACAAGATGTTGTGGTTTTAACAACAGCCCACAAATGTACAGGAGAGGATAATCATATACAGTATATCATATACATAGTTCCTTATACAATACATTTCAAAAGAAGGGATGAAAACAGCAGACTAAAGGGGCAAACAAAGATTGAATCGTCTCTCTCCCCTGGATAACCACAACACAGAAAGTATACAAATAAGTAAAAAATAATGGCAATGAGGGGGGCAAAGAAACTAATTCCCCCAATATATCCCACCCCAACCTCCCTCTCCGCCCCCCCAGCCCTCCCTCCCTCCCCACTCCGTTCTCATTCTCTTGATGTATGATTTTATTTTGGGTTTTATTCTGCCTTTTTCCTCTTCAGCAATTTAAAGTTGGGAAAATCAATAATTGTTGGTGTTATATTTTTACTTATTTTTGCTTTATGAAGCTTTTAATGCTCTGTTTGTTTAACTTTATATATCACTTTGAGTTGCTCTTGTATGAATTGTGCTCTGTAAATAAACGTCCCTTGCCATGAGGGACAGCAGCAGCCAACTGTGATAAAATGAGATAGTGACTGTTTTCAGGTGTAATTGTCCACTGGCCTCTCGAATCCTTAATCTGTGTTCAATGACAGAGTGTAACCTTTAATGATCTTTGTCATCTATTCCACGCTGTAACTTTGAAGCATATCCCCTTTCATTACCCGTTTCTGGATCTTCTCATTTACTCATCATTATTGACTTACTCACTCTTTTTCCTCTTGACCTCTCTGTAACGTTGTCCCTACTTCTATGCAGCTGTTGCAGGATGCCCATGCATCTGAGGGCCAGGTGGTGGTTCTGGAGTGCAGGGTCAAAGGAAGCCCTCCTCTTCAGGTCAGATGGTACCGCCAAGGAGAGGAGATCCTGGATTCTCCTGATTTTCGGATTCTCCAGAAAAGTTTGACATTTCTCTTAACTTGTCTTGAAACCATTTGTAACCGAGTACACTGTAGCAGTTAACTATAGGATGCTAATAACCAAAATATGTATGTTCTTTCTTCCTTTCTTCCAATAATCTATAATGAATCAGAGCCCCGTTCTGCGGCTGAACCAGGTTTGTTGGCTCAGTTCCTACTAAATGCATGCTTTGTTATTACAAAACTGCTTTTATGTCCCTAACCACAGTCAATACATCCAATTAGTAATGATAATCAGCTTTGTCTGGGGGCTGTTTGATGGTTTCTTTATCAGCTGTAACCTTTCACTCACTGTGGTGTCTCACAGAACACTCATATTCAAGAGACAGAGGGAGTCCTTGGGAAAGTCTGAGAAACCCCAAGACAGCAAATTCTTACACATCACACACGGAAAAATTTCAGATAAACAATGACACACGTGTTCATTTATGTCAGATTGTTTCGCACCTGTGTGACTCAGGGGTCATTTCTGGTGTTACTTTCAGAGCTGTGAGTCACACTCAGACGTCCCTGAACATCTGTGCCTCAGCTTTTTTATGTGTCTGTCTGTCTGTTCTTCATGAGAGCTTTCGTCCGTGCTTGTTTGTTTCTCCCTGCTGCTCTCTTGTGTGTCTGAGTCTGAATAGTGATTCACTAGTCTAGATGGAATGTCCGTCATAATATAACATGCCTGTGAAAAAAAAACAGTCTAATATCTTATTACCTGTCATTACATAACAAATCAAGTTTCAGCATGTCACTTCATTCCACGCCGGTACAGATTACCGATCATGAAAGTCAAGTCTGTTATTTTGCACTTTTAAATTCAGCTTTTAGGATCTTATTTAAGGTGTGTTGATAGCTGGAATTTTTTTTGTTTTTTTCCAGAGGAGATATGTACCCTGGTGATAGCCGAGGCCTTTCCAGAGGATGGAGGCCTGTTCTGCTGCTCAGCCTCCAACCCGTACGGCTCTTTGAAGAGCACAGCCCAACTCACCGTCACTGCAGGTGCGTTCACACACAGAGACAAAAGACATTGCCATTTGCCAACCCAATAGTCAATCAATAATCACAATAGTTCTACTAAATTCTAAGAGTCTAAGAGTGCAGGCAGGTTAACAGTGTCATGTAGTCTGCAGTTTCTCAATTAATGTTGTTTTGTTGAATTTGGCTCACTGCATAGAAAAACTCATAACAGCCCCATTTTGCAAGTTCTTTTTACTTTTTGATCAATATTAGTGACAACATATCAAGCTAACTAGCCTGTTGCTTTCACATGAACATGCTGCTGAACACACCAAAACAATGACTGCACAGTTTACCAAAGCTACCACAACAAGCCTCTAGGTCACTACATCATGTCAAGCAAGCATGTTATAACATGCTAGGCAAACTAGCATTTTGTCTAAGCCACTACATAAACCAAAAAAAACCCAATATAAGACAGTTAATATTCATAATACATCAGGGAATTGATAACCAATTTTACTTCTATAATTATGTTTCTGAATGGCATATTTGAAAACTTTTGGCATATTGAGAAGGTTTTAACACTTTTGGAGCGTGTGAAACAAAACATTTTCACGCTCTAGTAACAAATGGTAGAGTTGTAAATAAAGCAACTCTTTGTTTTAAAAAGGTCCTTAATGTGATGTCCCTGAATACACTTGTTACTTTTCTACAGCTTCACTCCCCTTTATCATCACATGATTTGTTTGAAGTTCAATCCCCATATTATTATAAAAAAAACTGATATATATATACATAAAGGATATCTAGAAAAAACTTACAACAAACACTCTTACATCTGATGGTAACCCTAACCCTAATTTCCCAAAAGTTGTGTAGATTGGAGTAATTTATAAAAGTAGTAAGTCTCAATGAAATGACCATCTTGTTTTGAAGGTGTTATTGTTTCATTTGAGTGAATGGTGTGAGCTGATGAGACGCTCTTTGTGAATACAGAAGTGAACAAATATTTCCTTGTGTGATTCCAAAAACAAAAACTGCGTGTACAGTACAGGACAGGACTCACCACAAAGGAAAGGCTGAATAAACAAGAATTTCATCAGCCTGACTGGACCCAGCTGCTGCTTTAGATCAGCTGGGTTCATTGTTGTCTGTCTAATCAGCATCTATGTGGTGGCCAGAAGGAAAAACTAAACATTAAAGTCAAAGAATTTTCCGTTTGTGTCTTGAAGCATCTGAGGACTCATCCAGTAATGGGATGTCTGGAGATAGCTCAGGGTTTGAGGATGCAGCAGCCTTCCCCCCACCTCCCCCACCCACAGAAATCAGCCTCCTGGAGCTGCCACCCAGGACGCTGCCTCCAAACAGGAATGAATCTTTCCAAATCAGGGAGCTGGAGATCTGGCCCAGTGTTTCCATCATGCCTCCAGTGCAGATGAGCTCAGAGGTTGAGGATAAAGGAAAGGGGTCCACACAGAATGGCCAACCCACATATCCACCGGCTCCACCAAGTCCACCCAAGGCATCTACCCCACCTCCACCCCCTCCTCCCCCTCTACCACAGTTTGACCCAATGACAGATGTCCCAGTCCAAGTCCAAAGTCCAGTCAAGGTGGCACCAGACGCACCTCCATCCCCAGGCAAACTGTCTCCACCCCATGGGAAAGAAGGACCCCCACTGCCTACCAAGCCTAAACCGAGGCTGTGAGTACCTGTGTGTCCGTGTGTGTCTGTGCCCCGAGGGGAGGCTAGTCGCCAGGGAGGGCTGGTGAAAGTGAGACAGGTTTGAAATGATAGTGTGGCAGGTTTGTGAAAAGGGTTAACTGGGGAATCCCATACCCCGATTAAACAAAAGCATTCCCCTGCCTTTATGTAGGTGTCAATGTGGCATCGTGTTTGCCAGGGCAAGTCTGCCAGCTGCCGTCCGTCCGTCTGTCTGTGGCTGTAAACAGATCTGCGTGGCTTTTGCTGGATGGCTCCTATTGTTTCTGTCTGACCCTGGACATGCATGCCCAGCCCAGGACAGAGCCATCATGTGTTGTTTTTTTTCCTGAGCACCTTTTCTGTGAGCTCTATAGGGATCAGGTAGGATGTCACTGTTATTATAAGAGAGTAGGGCATTTGAATGGCTTTATTTTCAATAGTCCTGTGTTTTGAGATGTCTGCTGCAGACGAGCATGCATTTTCTTTCTAAATTGTAGGTGGATTTCTTTTTTTTAATTTGGAGTATTTTCTTTATAACCAAGGAATACAGCGGGGAGCAATCGGAAAGAATAAGGAGAGAGAGAGGGGATGGCTGATCCTCTTCTAGACTAGTCTATATGAGTCCATTGTATGCTTCAAGGAGTGCCAATTGATTAGCACTTCAAGCCAGTGCTAATGGGGAGAAGACGACAGAAGATCATGAAAAATATAGAATTAGGTGCTTTCACTTGAGATGTAGGTTATCTTCACTTTTCTTTATTTAGCTCTATCGTCATGCTGGAGATGTTGGATTGCCTGACATCTTGTGGATCGTCTTTTAATACTGTACAGACATTCATGATTCCCAGAAGAAGAATACCACACATCTTGGCTCCTCTTAAAATAATCCTCCTGTCCCTACACAAAGTTGACAGTGGCAGTGTAAAGCTGACTTTTTCTTTAGATTAAAGGTCAACCCCATTTAATTAAATATATTAAGATCTTAAACATTGTTCCCAAACTGGAGTCCAAGGCACAAGTTTGTCTACTCTGAGGGTAGATTTGCATTAACTAAAATTGTGATAAAGAATTTACTGGAGAGTTTATTCAAAGGTCTATTGGTAGGAACAATTATGTGTTATGTATTTGCACCCAATCACCATACGCGGATCAGAAATCTTTGGACAAGAAACAAGGTTTTTGGTTTGGTTTGAAGTCTGAGTAGTATTGACCAACGAGGTTGAGCAGGCTTTGGTTGAATTTAGAAAAATAATCCCTATAGATTGCAAAATTGGTGGAATCCATTGGTCAAAAATACAAATCCAATCTGATTTGTTAATTGAACTGTAAACAACTTGTAGCGGACAGAGGAGGAAGTCTTGGCCCAATATCCCAGTTCCAGTGGCTTCCTCAGCAGCCCAACATTATTGTCTGTTAGAGGTTAAATTGTTGTCAGGCAAACACATTGTTTGCTTTGATAAGGCAAATCTTATCATGTAAGATAGTAAGAAAAGGTAGACATAACACCTGCTAAACATTAACTCTTTAGCCTCAGGGACATTAGCACTTAGCACAGTTCAGCATTGCAGAGAAGCCTCTTTTTAAATGTTCTTGCTCTTTCTTTTAATTTGCACTCTATGAATTTGCATATATTTAAGGCTGAACTCAAGTAGATGGAAAACTTTTACTTTAAAAGTTTTTAATCTAATAGAATTACTTTACCAGAGTTTGACAACGTAAGCAGTATTCCCCTTTAAAGTGGCATAATAATTGTTGCCATAGATCATGAACAGAGTTTGTTAAATGTAAACTGGAGCCTGTCTCTTGCATTGCACAGTCTTATGTCCGCCGCATGTGAAGTGGATTTAACTCCTGCCGATGGATGCCACAGTATTGCATGTTCTGTGTACAGAAAATGTTATGACTTTTTAATTCTGTGCTTCCAGAGCTGTGGGTATAGAGGAGGAGACAGAAAATTACAGGTAAATATTTGGCTGTGAGGGTGATGCTCTGGATGTGATTTGAGTGGCGCCACATGCAGCCTCATTAATCAAGCTCTCATGGAAACAAACACAGACACAACAGTAGAAATGATGTGGAGGCACACATCTGACATGTCTTGTGTAATTAACTTCACTTTTATTACATTTAAGGATTAAAAAGAGTGGTGGTTGGACGAGAATAAAGTGAAATCAGCTGATCGTTTACAATTGCCATATGCAAGTTTGTTGTGGATGAAAACATCTGGTGTGGTTACTGGGCTTTACCACAGAAACAGAAACCCTGTTTATATTGAGTCTAGCAGATTTGATCAAGATCAAGATAGATGTTTACTTTAAAATGTACATATGTCAACAAGGAGATTGATAAATGACATCACTTCTGTTTCTAGATCAGACTTCTATGCTAGAAAAATGAGGTCGTTAAGCTGCTCTGCTCAGAATGTTTCAGCAACAAGTGAATTTACTCCCCAAAACAATCAGCTTCCAACTGTCAAGTAATGAGATAGCATAAGTCACCCCTCCCCTGTCCTCTTTAAATTACACAGTAAAAAAAACAGCCCTGCCATTAACCAAAGGTCACGCTTACTGCTAGTCTACACTCTGTTTCCTCAGGTGAAATGTGTGAACAGAGACTGAGCACTCTGAGCTTATCATTGAGTTCATCGTATCCTGTTGGTCGCGTGGCACATCCCGTACAGACACTCAGATATATTGCCTCTTCTCTATGAGCCACATGGTGCTGTGGAGCAGAGCACAGTAAAGCCTTCATCCTTTGAAAACACTCTGGGTTTGTGACTTTATTGCATTTTAATATATTTTACAGGAGTTCAGTTTAATAAGCAGCAAAACTTTGTAACAAACACAATCTGTTGAAAAGCTGGTGAAAACTATTTTTAACACTAAGGCAGTATCATAAAAAAAACTTTGTTGTTAAATTGTTAGACTTTATTGACAGAAAGTAGCGGATCAGTTCGAAAGGAGTTTTATTCTCAGAGTTAGCAGATCACCTAGCTCAAGACCTGATTGTCTTGCCTTTATTAATAATGAGAATTAGGACTGAACCAAATGTTTTTTCTAAATATTTTGTCAAACATATATAATGCAGAAAATTATGATGGGGTAATATGAATGCTGTCACCAATTTTTCAAGCAAGACCTGCTCTGTCTCCATAGTTAATAATGCCCCAAACCAAGAGATCAATGCAGTACACTGATCTTAAGATCACAGCTGAACGACGCCACATTTCTGTTATTTTAGTTATTTTATTCAATCTTTCTTTAGTGGGGTTATTTGATGAAAAAAGGAGCCGTTTGAGTTGCTGTATAGTTGTGCTGGTGTGGAAATGTATGCACAGCCCATGTAGAAAAGTTCTAACGTCATTTGAGGTTATAATCTTCTCAGAAATTAGTTCATTACTTTGTCACTTCTTAAATTGGTATATGTCTCGCAAATCCCATATCAGTCAGCTTCAGTCATTTTTGAATATTTCAGATTTGAGCTCCAACTCATGCTCAAAAATATTCCAGGTTTTAAAGCATCTGTTAATATTTAAAAAGGGACAGGTTTATAAAGAACATAACATTCTTTACAACAGTGTATATAGCTATTGGAAAGATGTGTTCATATTCACAAATCTAGAATAAATGGTTGGAAATCATAGAAATAAACCTTGTGGAAAGCCTATGTAAGACATGGTTTTTGCTTCAATAACACTGGGCTGATGAGATGGAGGAAGTCATTATGTGACTTGGCAGGCAGGAGAGACTGCAGGAGACCTGAACTGTGAAAATAGAGCTGCTGTTTTTCTCTGCTGAAGGCAGAGGGGAAAAGGGTTGGTATGTATTTGGGTTTGATGCCCAGCGTTGATGTCAGATGTCAGGACAAGAATCAAAGGAAATTCTCAGGGGAGAGGCTCAGATTGGCCAGATGGATCTGATCCAAGTCGCAGGTTTGCAGAGAAAGCAAGAGTTTAACCACATAGTGGAGAATAGATGGGTTACAAATTGGCAGCTCCATCTCATCGTATGTTCCTTTAAAACTCAACATTTTATGCAGCATTTTGTAAAGCAGGGCTTCACACACAAAAACATTTATTTAGTAATTTGCTTAAGTTTAAAATATGGCGAGTAAGACTTTTGTAAGAAAGATAAATCCTCAAGCCATGAACAGAGAGAGTTTTGTCGCCCTCACCGAGGAACTGCTCTGAGGATGAAGCATAGTAAGCAAAAACTATTTTCTAATGTAGGAAACATACATTTATCTTAGGGTGCAACCATAGACTGTGAAATAGAAGTGGCCACCATGATGTCACACATTGGTTTGTGGACGACCATCTTGAGGCCTCAGTTTTGCATTTGGCTCACCGCCATCTTCGGCAAAGACCATATTTGGACCAATTGCTATCTACTACCTTTCTACCGACAGAGAGAGGACATTTTATGACGACCATAATTCAACTGGATGAGACGCTGCATCTCAACATAAGGTTTTGCAGTGTTGGACAGAGTTATGCTTCATTCTGATTTAACAACACAACCCTGTATCTATGTTCAGCTGTGCACATGTGACTTTGTGAAACACTGATAACACCTGGAGATAGTAAATCTAGATTTTTGTATGTATGTGCTCATGCAAATGCTTGCACATGTTTGAGAGTGTGCGCTGATGGATGAGTTGTCAGTGCTTCTACGATCCAGTGTTGGCTCTACTGTATTGATCCAGGTACATGATTGTGCGGTGTGACATTCCACAAGAATGTTTTGCATTTCTCACTTTCATTTTGGTGTAATGCAGAAGAGGATATAACATTTGATGTGCTGTGTGTTTTTACCATAGACTGTCAATAAGGAGTGAACATATCCTCTAGTTGAAATGGAAGCAAAAACATGCCTGCATTTATTAGCAGGTCGTGACTCTTCTGGTTGCAAAAAGAAGAAAAGGGCAAAATGGGTTGTATAAATGATGGGGCTGTTTAGAGACAAATAGATGATAAAGAAGGGTATATGCTTAAAGTGTGG